GACTGAAAATCTCATATGATTTGAATATACCTAGATCAAGATCGATATTTGACGACGAGAGAAGAACCTTAAATGTACATAATCATAATATGACTGAATGAAAAACCAATAAATGACATTCTTACTACATTGAATATCAATTAATCGTTTTGAAAAATGATAAGCTAGATTATTAAATTTGAAGTTAATTGTAATAATCATATAAAACAAGAAACATACGACACTTTTACAGATTGTTGATGACGATATTTTGTGATGGATTTCAGTCAGTTGAATATAATTTTTTCAAATTTTCAGACGTTTCTTGTTATGATTTGATTGAATAGAATGTTCACTGGTGTCTCAAACGTGATAGTTATTATTTTGTTTTTCTTCCGTTTTGTTTCAAGGCGTGATAAATTTTTGTGAATCAATAAAATAATGTTCTTTAACTTCGAAGATTATTCTCAACGGGATAGATTAATCTAACTTAAATATGCACAACACATCGAATAAATTCGCTTCGATTTTCTCAAGATAATTGAATATTTTAGTTCTTGATACTTACACAAAAAAATAAGTGTCTCGTACTTTTCTGCAAAAGTTTATTGCTAAGAAATAACGTTAATTAGATATATCGATAGAGAAATCAACATTCTACGAAATCATATATTTATAAAAGAAAAAAATACAATATATGTATAACTAAAATGAATAATAATTAGCGAAAAACTCAAATTAAATATGATTCTAATACTTCTCAAAATTAAAATCTTTGACAAATTACTTTTCAAAATTTATCAACAAAATAGAAAATAATAAAAGTGTTGCAAATATATACAATATTAGAATAAAATCACATCATCAATATGGATATGATCAATGTACATATCAAACAAATTTATGTTTCTTAAAAAAAAAAAAACTATCCACCATTCTTTAAATTTTTAAATCATTAACAATACCGATTGTTATACTGAAGTTACAAATTTATTTTCAATTAGAACTTATCAAACTAAGATAACAAAAATAATGTGGTACACCAATACTATCCGAAGCTAACAAGAGAAGTCCTTCAAGTCATCAATCACTTTTAAGATGAGACTATGTGCATTGTGTAGATGCCAATGAACTATGAATATATTAAAAATAGCTCGTGTGTTTAGATTATTACTACGGAGGCATTTCACTCTTAGGGTATTGTTTTAAATAAATGTCGTAGTAATAGAAAAATTAATTTTCGAATTTCAACTTGACACTTTGTATAGAGATAGGCCTTAACGAGAGTAGTTAATTGTGAAGGTTTCAAATCTGTTGATTTTACCTCTATCTTGAAATAAGAGCATTCAATCTACCGGCTTACACGAGTATACTATTACTATAGTTGTATCTTAGAATGAAAGCAAATCAAAAGACCTAAAATAACTCTTGTAAAGGCCTATCCCTATACAAAATTTCCAGCTGCAATTCGAAAATAGACTTTTCTGTTATCATGAGCTATCGATTAGTAAAAAAGAACATTTCATCACACTATTTCGACGCCAAAAAATCGAATTCAATAAATTGATAGGTTTTTCAAGTAGTAGAGATCTTTCTTATTTGTCGTGTAAGAAATCTACTAAAGATTAATATAAGTTTCTAAAGTTCCACGATAGTTTGAAGAGCAACAGATATACTAAGGCACAAAATAGATCATATTACTACTATTGAATACTCAGAAGAAAATTATGAAAGCAGTAAATTTATCTATGGTAAAATTCATCACGTAGAATATTGAAAATAATGTTTAGTATAAACAAAATATTTTTCATTGTTGTATGAAGCTTCAAAGAAGAATAAGTGATAATTTGGCGCGATATCTCAAAAATACATGCAGTCTTTCAAATGAAAATTTTATGCATGTCCTTGTTCCATTTCTTTTTATTATTGCAATGTCCTAGAACATAAGCTGTTTTTGTCTATGCAAGAGTATGATGAAATAAAAAAAAAAGAAAATCACAGCATCGCGTGTCATTCAAACCTTCCGTTTCTATCGCATGATCACTGAGGTAACTAAATCCATCCTATATTAAGAACAGGAAATTTAATGCATCTGGTCACGCTTTTAGCATATTAGAAAAACTAATATTCTCTTCATAGGATTATTTTACATTGAAAAGAAACAAAAAAAAACAGAGTTCTCAATAACCATGCCTAGGTCGAAGAAAGTCGATACATGGGTTTTTAGCCGTTGACCCGATCCGACTCATGTTCTTTTTTATCTTCAAAAATAGCTCATGAGCTATTTATCTAATTGCGTTGAATCGATTTTAAATACATGAATGAACAAGCATATTTCGAGTATCAGTAGTTGACGTATACGTAAATATTCGGTGTCATGATTGACAACTTGCAAAATTTTCAATTCTCTCGAATTCACCAGTATTGGACGAATGTTTTAGTTGGAAAGTCAAAAACTAATCAATATAAAGGTGTATGAGCTTTTCCATTTTTAATAATAGTCTATGTAGATGGTTGTTGTTTTAAAAAATATTTGATCTATCTTGTGTCTAATGATGAATTAGTACGGATAATTGAAGAAAAAGTGTTCACAAAAATTGATGATTGAGAAGAGTTAAGTAAGAGCATAGGGGCGTTTACAACGCTTGGATTGGAAGATCAATCCCACTTTCTTCTCTCAAGAAAAATATTCACTCTCAATTTATCATGCTTGTACTGACAGTTATGTCAAAAATAATCACTGTGAAATGTTAGTTTGTGCTGACATTTTGTTTGTAATAATTAATATCAAATATATTCATGATATATATATATAATCCCAAGTGTTCTTCTTCTACTTTATGATTTACATATAAACGTAATATTTTTTCAATAAAAATTTATCAAAAACAATGAATAAAAAACCGAAAGATAGTAGTACATATTTTATATCGAACAAGAGATCTAAGAATGATATAAATAAAAATATCTCACAACAATCAACAGCAGATTATTTAAATAATTTCAATAACAACAACAAGCTCGAAATAGATCATAATGAAGAAACTCTAGTTGCCTTTTTTTTTTCATTGTTTTGTTAATCAAAAGTTTACTAGTATTATTAAAGCATCTGTCAAAAATCATGATCTTAGATTATATGTTTCAAATCAATTAACTACGAAGGATTTTCTATTATTAAATTGACTGTTGACGGAACCATGGATTTCATTCCCAAAATTACATCTATCTAAAATTCGATCAATTTGCTAACACTCATGACTAACCAAATATACTTGACTGATATATTCAACAATGCATCTAGTAGTTTATTGTTGGTATTGTAATTTATTTTTAATGAAAGAAAAGAACCAATGTCTTAGTTAATTTGCTAATTGACTATTAAAAGACGCTATGAATTATTTAACGATTCATAATAAATAAAAATCTTATAAAGACTTCATTATTCTTATAAATATTCTTTCTGCCGTTCTGTACAGACTAATTTACAGTCGAAAAACCAATTGATCATGCCTATAAGGACATTTCTTCTGAAATATTCTTTTTTCAAGGTTTGGCCCATCGCAATATCAAGTCAGCCTATGATTTTCTATTTAAAACAAATCCGGCCGATGGTTCGGATTCGACATAGCCATTGAGACTTAATCTATAATAAAGTTTTTATGATTCTTTTATCTTCTTAAGAGTGATTCTCTGAGAAAATCAGTCACTATCAGACATCGACGATGGAGCGACATTCCAGAATTCGCTGATTCTTTGATATGTTATAGAGGATATCGAGTTATGTATATCTTAAAATTTTCAGCTCTATCCGACAAGTTTTGATATCGAAATGACTTAAAAAATGGACTGGATTTTTTTACTATTTTTTCTCATTTTCAGCTGTTTTTGACAGAATGTCGAGTCACCGCTTTCGATGCGCCAACAATGGATCGATCTAATATTTTTATCTATGAAAGAGCTCATCGAGCTCTATCGACTAGGATATTTTTCCTTTTTGGCCCATGAAAAAAAAATTTTCTGAAAATTACCCAGAAACCTGACCAGAGGATCAACATAATTCAACACTAATCATCGCGCTATATTGACGCTTCTAGGGAATTTCGAGAAAATTTTTTTTTCATGGGCCAAAAAGGAAAAATATCCTAGTCGATAGAGCTCGATGAGCTCTTTCATAGATAAAAATATTAGATCGATCCATTGTTGGCGCATCGAAAGCGGTGACTCGACATTCTGTCAAAAACAGCTGAAAATGAGAAAAAATAGTAAAAAATCCAGTCCATTTTTTAAGTCATTTCGATATCAAAACTTGTCGGATAGAGCTGAAAATTTCAAGATATACATAACTCGATGTCCTCTATAACATATAAAAGAATCAGCAAATTCTGGAATGTCGCTCCATCGTCGGTGTCTGAGTCTCTCAGAGAATCACTCTTAAGTAGTTTAACTATTTCTATTTTTAAAGCTAACCTGTTTTCCAAGAAGAACTAAATCCACATTTTCTTTTTTAGCAATCGCAGCAAGTAATTTTGAAATAGCTAATGGTTGTAATGCTTCATAATCTTTCCCAGCAACTTCAACATGTATAGCTCGATCAGCACCTAATGCTAAAGCTGTTCGAAGTGTTTCCTTGAAAAGAAAAAAAAAAATCTGTGTTGTTTCTTTCACACAAGAACATCAAGCATATTCATACTTGACATTGAGCAGGTCCACATGAAACAGCAATAATTTCTTGTGCAATTTTTTTTTCTTTTAATCGAATGGCTTCTTCAACAGCTATTTCATCAAATGGATTCATTGAATGTTTAACACCTTCTGTAACAACTCCTGTTTTATCCGATTTAACTTGGATTTTAACAGCATAATCAATAGCACGTTTAACACCTACTAAAATACGTATTGCCATCTGAAAAACAGAACATAACAATTTTATTTTCTTTCAATAGGAATGAACAACTTTTCCTATAGATTTTGTTTTTTTTTTTGTATCTAGATTCAACAAAACAAAAAAAAGAAAAACAAAATTATTCTGAATCATCATCGTCATCATCATCATCATTATCGGATGGTTGAGCCGGTGTTTGAAATATTTCATCGGTTTTATCATATGGAAAACTCTCTTCTGGTTTCTTTTGTTCATAAGATAATTTTTGATAGATACGTTGTTTATATTTTTGTGACGCTTGTTCTTTAGCTATATGACGTTTTAAATTTGGTGCAACATATAACGGATTTTCATAGATCAGCATACCAGAAAAACTTTTTTCAAAAATACAATGTAAATTGAGAACAAATCTAAAAAAAAAGTGTTGTTTTTCTTTTCTCTCAATTGAATTTTCTCTTATGAAATTAAACTATTTACCTTGGACCAATTTCAGCTAATGAACCATTTTCTTCAACAATTTGATAATTTCTTAACCAAATTTTATTATCAATTAATGTAAATGTTAATACATGATCAATAAATGGTTGTGATTTTGGATGTGATTTTGGTGTACCAAATATTTGTGTTAATAATTCTTTAATTAATTTCCAATGTGGTTCATCATCAAATTTAGTATCAAATGATAATAATGGTCTTGAACCACGTAAACAATTACCAGTTAATTTTAATTCTTCCATTGTATGTAAATTTTCAACAAGAAATTTAACTGTAGGTCCATCAGGTACAGATGCCATCCATAAATAAAGATCACGTTTTTTTTTCATATCAAAAAATAATATTTTATTACAATTACGTAATTCAGCTATTTCATTAAGAACAGAAAAATTTTTACGTAATTCAGCTTTTGGTTCACTTTTTGAATGTGCCATTATTGAACGTAAATTTTTCATAACATGTCGTCCTAAATATGATATACCACGTGATGAAAATATTAGAACACGTTGTTTATTAATCCATGATGTTTTCATTGATTGAATTTTATCCGATTCACGTGTTGATGGTAAACGTTGAACTAATGATGATGTTGATGCTGGTGCTGGACCTAATCGATGAAGATTAAGAGATTCATCATTATTGTCTTTATCAATTTGTTCTTGCCGACGAGATTTTTTAAGTTTTTTTTCTAATCGATTTGGTGATACAGATGTTGTTGATTTACGTTTTTTTATTTTAGTCATAATAATTGATGGCAGAAAATCAAATAAGAATCTAAAGGAATTATTAAATAGATAAACTTGAGGAATATGCCTACTTTTCCTATAAAACAAATAAATAAATAACAACGTATCAATTGTTATATATTATCTGTAGGTCTTTGAACATTCCAATCAGATCTTATTGATTCGACTACATTAAAAAAGTTGAAAGGGATAGAGGTCGCTTGAAGACTGCCATTGACAAAGGGTTGATTTGATAGCAAAGCCGATTCAATGAGTCATAATCGAAAAAACAAAAGCCAATGATGACTTGATCACTACATGATCATCATCAAGAGTGTTTGAGAAAATTGTAGAGTATGTAAGTATTAAAATGTGAATACTCAATAAAAAATATCTAACATTTTCGGATCTACCATCAGACACATCCTATTCTACGGATCTTTGAGTGCTCATTTTCGAAAAATATTTGTTTTTACTCCAAAAATCTTGCCAGGAAGAAGCTGAACCTCTCTAACCCCAAATCCTGGTTCCACCGCTAGTTTTTTTGTGGAATTAAAAGTACGATTTGAGTTCGGCTGCGCAAATTTAGGGGCTTGATAGAAAACACTGGCATTACTTATTTTCATGGAATGTAAATGATGATTGGAATGAAAGGTAATCATACTTGAATCATTAATTCAAAAAAGATTTGAAAGTTCTAAAATAACTTCAATCGTCGAATTTGTTTCGGTTATTAGGAAAATCAAATGAGAAATATGAATCTTTTATGGATTTTATCTACATATTTTGTCTCATTTTCTCTTATTTACATTAATACATCATGAGGGAGTGTCCCACACTGTAACCATACATAGTCGTAGTCATAAAAGCATTCCCTATTAGAGCTTGATGAGCCTAAAAACACCAAGAAAAGTGTTTGGAATGGAATCCTTGAAGAACCGAGATCTCTCAAAACCAGTTTTTCAGGTAGAGCAACATGAGATATTTTGTCTATCGTCATGATCTTCCTTTCTTTCTTCATTGAACTGAATTCATTTTATGGAAGATCCAAAACCGCCAATCACAAGGAAATCATTGAAGTTCTTCGTAAAATAAAAGCAAAATAATTCTTGAGTCTTCTGTAAATTGAATGTAGTTTGATGAAGGAACAACATGAAAAGAGTTGAGACACCCCCGTTTTGTTCTATCAAACAAAACCGTTGCTAAAAAGTTTCAAAGAGATGTCGTAAAACTGTTTTTGGAAGCTGTTAGTTATTCAGATATCCTCATCTACAGAGATTTATTGGAGATTTAAGGCGCACAAATATTTATAGAGAATCCTTTTAACTACACACATATTATTTTCCGGTTCTTCGCAGCTATTATTATCAAGAAGAAAACTAAAAAAGCACAATTGCTTTAAACTGTCGTCTGTTACTATACGTTCCTTCATATTGGTCTTCTTTACATTTATCTGTAACTACTTGTAGTGAATATACAATTGTCGGTTTAATCTTTCTACCCACATGTCCTATGTGCATATGTGAGTATCAATGTATTAAAAAGATCTATCAACCTACCTCCGCCACAGCCTCGTCTATACCAACACTTATATCCATATCCTTCAATTTTTGAATTTCATCTTGAAGAATATGCAGATGGTAATTCTACTGGTATGAAATTCGATATCAACTGGAAAGAATATGTGAGAAAAAAACATTATTAAGTAGTCATTTTTTTCACATTATGTTTTTGTGTACTATTGCTCATATTTCTTTCAATGAAAATAATGTCAGATAATCATTCAATAGACAACATATATTATTAAAATGTCTTTAGAAATCAGTTAGAAATGAATTAAAAAAGTTCCTTGTGGTATTTCAAATTTTTATCAATTAAGATAGATTGTAGTGAGAGATAATTCCATCGCGAAAAATAGAATATTTAGGAAATCATCTGCATTTTTATGTATACAGTTTGTTAGTTTATACTATATTTTTTCAAATTACTACATAAAAGAGATGCGAATACAATAAATAAAATCTATATAAGACTCAAGTTGTTCTTAGATGGCAGCACTATACAATTCATCCGCTATAAACAATAGAAAGTAAATTTTAATTACCTTGAAATCAATAATTTCTTCAATCAGATAAATAACTATTATCTAAATAAAATTAAACAGAAAAAATTAATAATTTAGAAAATTATTTAACCAATCTCATATTGTAATATTAACGAACGAATAAATATATATTGATGCTGATTGCGCCTATATCAATCACATCACAAGGCATTCAATGATTAATTGTTTTTTTCGTATTATATAAGCGTTATTTTATTTTTTTTACTGTTAGAGTATATGTAAATAAAACGAAACACAGTACAATATGCATAAGAATGAAAAAAATTTAATAACTATCCGTTGTTTTTTTTTTATAGGTTCATTGCATTTTGCGTCGATTAAGAACAAAACTGGCACTTTTACTTCGATGACGAACTGGAGTAAGAGTAGTACTCGGATAGTGAAATATCTTATGTTTTTCATCTTTATCTTCATCTTTATCATGCACATCTATGACGATGCTATGTTTTCGTCCGATTGATGGTAATGATCTATTAAATGAGCTTTGACGAATATTTTTCAATTGAGATTGCTTATTATCCATTAAATTTGTAAATGATTTAACTTGTTCATTGTTAGTTTTTATTTTCTTGAAGTCTAGTGATAGTTTACGTGTTATGTTTTTTAATTCCGTAGGACTCTCTATAATAGGTGAAAAAGCAGGTAAAAAATGTAATGATGGTGATCGTTCATTTTTTCCTAACGATGAAGTACGTCGAATTGTTATGAAATTAATTGGAGTAGAAAAACTCGTTTTAATAGGTGCAACATGTTGAGTTGAAATAGGTTTTTGAGAATTTTGATCGATTATCTACAATTAAATAATTTAATTAATTGTTTTCTTTTTCCTTTGAAGTATAAACATTCAACAAACCTCATTATTCTTAACATTTGGTCCTTGATAAGAAAGAAATTGTCGTTCTAATTTACGTAATGTTATTGATGGCTGTCGTGAAAAAATATAGCTAAGCATTGGTCGAATATTATCAGTTGATTTTGTTTGATCAGAATCATGATTATTATAAGTATGTTCTGCTCGTTCAGATGCAGCTCGTTGAAAATCTAAAGTATTACAATCGCCACGTTGTTTTTTTCGATAACAATCTATTTAAATGAGAAAAAAACAAAATAACAGAAGAAATAATTTCCCATGAAATTGTTTTCTTATTAAACGAACTTGTACAATAAATATCATTTCCTTCTTCATTAAGTGACGATTCAGTTAGACTTCGTTTACAAATTCGACAACGAAAACATCGATTATGATAAACCTAAATGAAATTATATAAAAATTTTTTACTTTTTCAATTAACGTACATGATTAGTTGTCTTCTTCTTTTCGACAGCATAAACAAGTGATCCACATGCATAACATTTTGAATTCGTAGAGACTATTCCTTCAATTAAAGTTTCCATGCCAGTTTCTAGTTTATAATAAAGAAAAATAATATTAATGTAAGCAAGAATTATATAAGACATAGAACGAAATGTATTTTATAAATATATTAAACATTATTATATATTGAACATGAAGGAAGTGACTAGAATTTGTGTATTTAGTATAAAAAAAAAAGATGAATGAAGAGAACCTTTTACATTTTCATTGAATGATGAAGACTGAATAAATTGAGATGTATATATATATATAAGAAAGACTGAGAGAAAACATAAAAGAGTACAAATCGAATTCAATATACATTGACCCTTTAGATGCCTATCAATTTTCCATGAGTAACAGATTTCTTTTCTTTTAAATAGCATTATACTCAACTTTTCGGCCATCGATTGTTCATTAACATATCAGTTTCATTCATTGTTGTTGAACTAGCCATAGACAGACTTGTCTTATACATGTATCAGTAGAAACGGAAAAAAAAGGGAAAATAGTGTTTTTTTTTTATGACGAAGTATACGTTATTTTTTATATATGTCTCACTACCTATTTCACCTTTGCGTATTGCTTATTATTACCACGCAAAAAAAAAATATTGTCATATTTTTGTATTGTAATAAAATTCGAAAAAAAAAGAGTAATATACCTATATAAATATCGCTAACAGATACTAAGTGTAGATCCTATCATTTTCTATATGAATGACTATGTGCATGTATGTTAATTTTGTTTTTCTTTTGATTGACTCTTATCATACACGTTGATCGATTTTGGAATAAGAGACAAAATATATTTGATGATGTATTGTATGATAGCAACAAAAAATAAATATCATTAAACCTGATGGAAAAATGTTATTCATAGACCCTATTATTCATTGACTATCACATAAAAATACTCTTTGAGTAAAAATATGATTACACGCCTGTTTTAATGACATTAATATTTGACCTTCGAATTAAAAGTTATTATAGTACGATTAATATTCAAAGGAAGCAATTAGAAAAAAAAAATATTTGTTTGTCTTTTGTCTGTGTCCACTATTTTTATACGCAATTTTTCATCAAATATTAAAAAATAAATTTTCATTTAATTTATTAATTTAATTTTAGATTTTATTGTTAATAAAATATAATACATTATGATGTTTTTTCGTTTTTGTATTTTTGTTTGTTTGGCATTGATAATTGTTAATGGTCGTACACTTAAACGAAAACAATCATTACTATCATTAGATCTTGTAAATGAAATTAATTCAGCACAAACAACATGGAAAGCAAAACCATCAAAATTTATGTCATGGTCAAAAGAATCAATTGAACGTTTAATGGGTGTTCGTCCAGAATATTCTGAACATCATAAAGAACTTGAAATACTTGAACATGATGTACCAAATGATTTACCAGAAAATTTTGATGCACGTGAACAATGGCCAAATTGTCCAACACTTAAAGAAGTACGCGATCAAGGAAGGTCTGTTATATAAACAAATTTTAAAAAAAAAAAAGAAGACAGAAAAAA